CTCCAGGGCCTCTTCATAATAGCTGTTGCGGACACAGGTGTCCATGAGCTGAGGAATCTCTAGGATTTCCAGGATTTCTGTGTGCCGATTTAGAGTCAGGGTGTTCATCCGGCGGTTGGAGCTGATCTCTTCAGCCTCTTTCACAAAGTTCCTAGTACAATCAAGAGAATGTTGGTTGCTCACTGCTCTGCACCCAAACCTTAACTATAATTACCAAGCATTTACTATAAACTGGGCACCGGGCTGGATGGTATATCTGACTTAATCTTCACACCAAACCTATGAGATAAATACCCCAAGGAAACTTTAATTTCAGAGAGGTTAAGCTGTTTGTTCAAGATCACACAACTAATAAAATGATAAAAAGATTTGAACCCAGATCTGCCACGTAACTAGCTGTGGCAAGACACTTAGGCTTTCATAACTCTTTTCTCATTGGTAAAGTAATAGGACCCACCTCATAAGGATATGAAGATTAAATGAGATGATGTGTGTAAAGTATTTAACACAGAACCTGACTCAGAGTAAATGTTCCTTTAATAATAGCTATACTTATTATTTTCATAATAATCAACTAACCTAGAGGCTACAACCTTACCCCCACGTTCTCTTGGCCTCTTACCCTATCCCTATGCTATTGTTCAACCTCAGTTCCCAGCAGTTTCCATTTCTTCTCCATAACGGCAGAGATCTGCTTTATGAAGTCCCCTATCTATTCTGGGGTGGCTGGAAGGGTACAAAAGCTATTGTCAAATATCCAGAGATTCAAAAGAAAACTTAAAACTTTTATCACGAAAAGCTGGAAGCCAGGATTAGGGATAATGGACTGAGGATCTAGGGAAGAAGACTGACTCAAAAAGGAGGATTTTTTGGGGGGATAATTTTTGCTACCCCCAAATGGAATAATTTCCTTATCATCTTCCTATCGGTGAAAGTTTTGGAGCAGATAACTTCTAGTCTGAGCTGTTGTATGCGTTGTGTCTACGCGTGTGTTTATGTATATTTACATAAATCTGCATATATATTAAGCTGCCAATCGAAGATAAGTATGTCAGGCCAAATTCTTAGTGCTTTGCACGAATTCTCTTTATTTAGTGCTCACACAGCCTTCTGTGGGAGCGTGGTGCTACTAGGTTCCAATTCTAACCTTGAAACTTACTATAGCTGTGCCCTCGGACAGTCACTAATCTCTCCCTGTCTCAACTTCCTCATGCATAAAATGGGAAGAACAGCACCTACCTAAAAAGCTGCTGGGAAGTTTAAATGGAGTAATACAGTGCTCAGAGGAGAGCCTGGGACAGATACGCGCTATGTAAGTGTTAGCTATCTCTATCATGGTAAACGCCATTCATTACAGTTGTTAAAAGCCCCTTTAGCACCGGGCCCGCCGCACCTGCAGCTCTGCTGGAAGCTGGGCAAGCGGTCGAGCAAGCGGCCTAGCGACGCTTCCACGTCGCCAAACAGGCGGTGGATACGTTCCGTACACTCGGCGCCGCGGATGAAGGTCTTGTAGTTGGCAAAAGCCAAGTCGCGCGTCTGCTGCAGCAGCTGGGCCCGCTCCTCGGCCAGGCGCTCGGGCTCGCGCCGCAGACGCTCCAGCCCCGAGCCGCTCAACTCCCGGAGGTAGCGACCCACGTCGGGCCGTTCCCGCCACTGGGCCTCCGGGAAGTGATCCCGGAACAGCGATGCCAGGAGCCCTTCATCCTCCACTTCCCCGAGAGCCGCTGCGGTGGCTGTGGCGGATGCTGAAGTGGAGGATGCAGAGGCCGTGGTGGAGGATTGAATTGTCGCCATCGCCGCCATCTTTCCGGCAGCAGCGTCACTTCCCCCTCGGGCCCAGAGAGGGCGCTGGCTTCAAACCTAGGACCGGAAGCAACTGGGGTACATTTCCGGTCTATATGGTTTCTCATCCGGCGGCTTCGAAAAGCGATAGAAAGGTGGGCTTTCGGGGTTGCCAGGGAGAGGCTGGCGGGTGAGTTCCGCTTCCGGCGGCCGAGGCACGAGGAACCGGTGTTGCAACAGCGGGAAAATGCGGCCTTTGACTGAAGAGGAGACCCGTGTCATGTTTGAGAAGATAGCAAAATAGTAAGAGCGCGCGGGGTAGAAAAAATAGTGTATGTGGTGGGAAGGGGATGGGATGGAGGGAGTGCGGGGCCGGGACTAGTCCGTTCGCACCCGGCCTCCAGTCCTCCTTTTGCCGACAGCATCGGGGAGAACCTTCAGCTGCTGGTCGACAGGCCTGACGGCACCTACTGTTTCAGACTGCACAACGACCGGGTGTACTACGTGAGGTGAGGTGGGGCCGGGCGGGTAGTGGGGACCCGGATGGGGGCCTGGACCCATCAGCGCCCATACATGACACGTCTTATTTATCCTTTCAGTGAAAAGATCTTGAAGTTGGCCGCCAACATCTCCGGTGACAAGCTGGTGTCGCTGGGGACCTGCTTCGGAAAATTCACTAAGACCCACAAATTCCGGTTGCACGTCACAGCTCTGGATTACCTCGCACCCTATGCCAAGGTTTGTGAGGTGGTTTCCAGTCGTCCACTGGGGATGGAGGAAGTCAGGGATGAGGGCCACCTCAGAACGCAGGCATGTGGGCAGCTTCGCTGCCACGGAGGCCCTGCCAGTGCGGGGGATCCGTGGCAGCACGTGGAGGTGCTTGTGGGTCCTGCTCTTTCGGTACGGTTCGGGCTCTGGGGCAGGAGTGCTCTCATTATCTCCAGCAAAGGAGAAAAGCCTGTGCAAACCCAGCTGAAGATCGAAAAGCAAATAGGTGGCTGTAGGAGGAGCATAGCGGGTCCAGAAAAAGAGCTGTTTAACTGTCGGCCGGGGAAGTTGCTTGGAGAGGGGAGGAAAGAAGCTGGCAGTTCTGTGTAGAGGGTGAACAATTTGAGGGAAACATGCGTCTTTCTCTCTTTTTCTTAAAATGGTTTCCAGAAATCAATCACGGATCCAGCAGCTAGCTTATCTGCAGGGATATAACTGTTAGCTATTTTATGTTTCTTGGATTTAATTCTCTTTCTCATAGTACAAAGTGTGGATAAAGCCTGGAGCAGAGCAGTCCTTCCTGTATGGGAACCATGTGTTAAAATCTGGACTGGGTCGAATCACTGAAAATACTTCTCAGTACCAGGGAGTGGTGGTGTACTCCATGGCAGACATCCCTTTGGTGAGTACAGATGGTAGCTGTTACAAAAATTAAGGATCTTTTTATTTGAGAAGGATGTATTTCAGTCTGTGGGCTTGAGAAACTAAATTCTCGGCACCTTTTGAATTTCTCAAAGAACTGTATTTTTTCCATCTTTGTTATTTCCAGCCCTCAGTGCATGCATATTGAATGACTTGAGTGAATCAGTATCTCTTCTTTTGAATCCCAGGGTTTTGGGGTGGCAGCAAAGTCTACACAAGACTGCAGGAAAGTAGACCCCATGGCGATTGTGGTATTTCATCAAGCAGACATTGGGGAATATGTGCGACACGAAGAGACATTGACTTAAAACGAAATCATCGCAAGGACTTATGGCTGTGTGGAAGGGCCTAGCTTTGTTTCCTGTGTCTTGTAGGCTCCACCATCATGTTGAATTTTATCAACACTGTGACCTCTCCAGGGACTTCTTAGTTTTCTATTCTCTCTGTTATGGACAAATGCAGGACGGATTCTGACTAAGCAGAAATGGTTCAAAAATGGAGTTTCGGATCTTTGTGTTTGTTACTAAATAGAATATTGTATTTTATATTTTAATCAGAGGGCTTCTTGTTTTCAGTAAGAGGTTCTGAATTATTGGAATTGAGGACAAGAATAGCTTTTTATTGTTATCTGTGATAACACTTTTTTCCAAACTCATGATAAGAACACAACAGGTTTTCTTATTTATTTATTAATACTACGAAAGATAGATATTGCCATATCCAAATAGTAGGACATGCATGGGATTTTACAAGTGAAGTTTGGATAAAATACTAAGAGCAATTTATTCTGGTGATTTGCCTTATGGTAGGTTCTGTGTGGTATAGAAGAAAACTTGGATTCAAAACCTAGTTCTAATACCTACCAGCTATATGATGCTTTATCTGAATCATTAAACTTTAATGAGCTTCCTTGTCTTCTATTTTCATAAAACAGTTTTAGCCATCTACTTAATAATGGCTTTTAGAATTAGAAATCATGATTGTAAAGTACCTAACACGGTGCCTTGCAAATGATAGGTGTTAAATAAATGCTGAGAATTATTTTTATGTTGCATACATTGAGTGTTGCTGCTACTAAGAGTAGGATCTAATGAGTATAATTTGATTATATTATTTTGGTTTTTCCAAGCTGTTTTCTCAGTCTTTGTTTTTTATGGATGGTGTGATCTCAGATTGAATTTTATTTTCATCAACTTGTTTCCTAAAACATTTTCCTTATGAACCTTTACTTATCTTACTGGACTGAACAAAAAGCACTAATCAGAGACCCTGAAATAATTTATCTCCTCTATTCTTCCCCATGTTTCCCAAAATCATTTTTAGAATTAAAATATTTTTAAAAGAAAAACATTTAACAAATATTTTTAAAAGCTACCTGTATTGTAAAACAATTTCTCTAATGAATATACTGCTTATTTTAAATTCCAAAGGTGACATCTCTAAAAATAAAGCATTTTTAACCACAAAAAAAAAGCATTCTACCAACTCCTGTTTTTGTATGTAACATATAAAACCCATATAAAAACTGGGTTTTATATGTATTTGTCCCATTCTTTTCAACTATTCTCCGTTTCAAGGTTCTCTGTCAACCTCTAAGTAGACTCTGTTCAGATTAAGGGACCATTATGTGATGAACAGTATTTTGATGGTAGCATTTAATGCATTAAACTTAAGAAATAGCCAACATCAAAACTTAAACATTTTTATTTCTTTATTGCTATTTCCCTCTGTAGATGAGAGCAATAGACTAAAACTTTCTAAGAGGAGAAATTGATTATTTCCCAATAACTTTAAAAAGCTGACTTAACCAAAGCTTTCATAAGCTTCTCCTCCAGAAGAAGAGTTCCAGGGCACTAGTTATTTTAGCTTAGCATCTTGGCTTCTTTGTGTCTGTAGTCATTGGGACATTGAAGAGACGCTTCAAGAAATACAGCTGCAGGACCCCAGAAAGAACAATAACAAGGCTCTGGGCTATCGACCACCAGTTCACATAGTTATAGTTTGATTGGAGAAGGAAAAAGTCAGCCATTTTCCTCATGCGGGCAAAGTTGTAGTATCGCCACATGTGAAAGATATTTCTCTGTACCTTTCGTGTACTTTCCTGTGGGACAGACAATGAAATGAGGAAAGGGCTTCTCTTTCCCCTACCCCCCACCCCCCACTCCATCTTTTCTCACCTGGGTGCTCACCAGCACTAAGTTATCTGGAAGTTGAGCAACTTAAATGAATTTTATGTAATAAGCTGGCGGCTACTGTGGTTAATAAATGGTAATTTTGCTGCATAGGAAAATGGCCTGGACTCCATGTTAAACTTTTTTAGTGAGAAACTTCAATGTTGAAACCAGAGAACCCTTCCAACGATCTCTAGATTTAGATACGCACCCAACACATCATTATCCTGGGTGGTGTCTTAAGCTCTTGCTGAAGTAGAAGACAAGGACCTGCAAACTTATTATAGAGCCAGATAGTATAGTAAATACTATACTAGGCTTTGCAGGCCATACAGTTTTGCAACTACTGAACTCTGCCATTGTAGCACAAAAACCCATAGACAATATGTAATTGTCAATTGAGCATGTCTGTGTTCTGATGAAGCTTGATTTACAAAACTAGGCTGGGGACCTCAGTGCCTCCTCCTGGATGCTATCATGAAAGTGCAAAGACATTGCACAAAATGTGAGAAAGTATCTGTAAATCATACAACTCTATAAGGGACATACCCAGAATATATAAAAAGGCACAGTTCAACAAAAGAGCCCAATTTTAAAGTGGGCAAAGTATTTAAGTAGACATTTCTCCAAAGATATATAAATGACCGAAAAGCACACAAAAAGAAGCTCAGTGTCATTAGGGAGACAACTCAAAATCAGAAGATACCTTTTCACACCCACTAGGGTGGCTAATAAAGACAACATGTCAGTGAAGAGGTAGAGAAAGTGCAACCCTCATTCACTGCTGGTGGGACTGTAAAATGGTTTAGCCCCTGTGGAAAACAGCAGCTTCTCACAGTTAAACAGTTACTCTCTGACCCAATAGAATACAGTACTATATATACAAAAAATGAAAGCATGTTTACACAAAAACTTGGCAAATGTTCATAACATGATAGCAAAAAAGTGGAAATAACCCAAATGTCTGTCAGTTGATGAGTCAGTAAATATGGTATATCCATACAGTAGAACACTATTCAGCCATAAAAAAGAATGAGATACTAATAAATACTATGATGCAGATGAGCCTTGAAAACATATTAAGTGAAAAGCCAGACACACAAGGCCACATTGTATAATTTCACTCATTTTAAATATGCAGAATAGGCGAATTTGTAGACAGAAAGTAGACTATTAAGTGGCCAGAGTCAGGAGGCATGGGGAATGGATAGTGACTAATGGGTAGGGAGTTTCTTTTGGGGGAGATGAAACTGTTCAGAAATTAGATACTGGTGATTGTTCCAGGACCTTGGGGATATGCTGAAAACCACTGGACTGTACACTTTAAAATGATGAATTATATCTACATTTTTATAAAAAAGGCAGTGGACCAGCTTTGGCCTGTGAGCCATAGTTTGCCAATCCCTAGTGTAAAAAATTATTTCAAGAGCTCCAAGTCATAAAAATTAGCGGCTTCAAATCCTCTTGCCTGTTTGGTTTCTACACAAATGAGTGCTTGGATCGAATGATAATAACTACTCCCATATTTTTAATCTTTCCTCCAAATTTAAAATCAGTTTCCATGGATGTTTCTCTCCCACAAAGCAATTACCTCAATCGCATCCAGAGTATCATTCAGTTGTTTTCTTTCAGTCTTCTGTTTGTGGTCCATCTCAGGCCCCTCATAGAAGACTCCAAAATTTAGGTACACTTGCACAGAACCAAAGTGATTTTGCTGATTTTTTAGACAGAGCTGATAAAAACCTGTAAGGATCCCTAGATCATTACCAAGTCTTGGTCTCCCACCTGTTGTTGATATTTCATCCTCTAGGTTTGGAAGATGTCTGTCCTCCAGAGGTCAATATGCTACGTTAGCACCTCTTTTTACTTAACAAGTACAAAGATCCAATTTTTGATATGAAAGAAAGACACTGATCTTACATGAAACATTTTACTAAATATTTATAATAATTATGTTTTGCCAAATATTACTAATTCTATACTGAAAAGAAACCAGTGTTTACTTCCTCTTTTTCAACATTTTATTTCTTAAGGGATTTCTCAAATTGAGTTCCAAATTAGGAGAATGGTGTTTGCTTGCGTCTTATATATTGTTAGAGCCGGCAGGATGCCATCTTGAACTTGAAAGTAGGGGAAAATTGATGTGTTGTGAATGAAAGAAGCTATCCTGCTGCAGTAACTAACTGCAAAGTGGTTTGTACCGGGACTGATGGTTTTGGAAATGTGCTGGTGCTGGTGCTCAGCTGGGGTCGCCTCCCATTGCGTGTGTGGGAGCGGGGAGAAGCAGGATTAGAGAGGTGTGGCAGTGTACTGGTTGAAATGATTGGAGCACTACTGGCATGTAGGGGCCAAAGATGCCAAATATCCTATAATGCTGAGGATCTTGTGCTACACATGAAGAACTGTCTTATGTTCCTGTGGAGGAACGTTTTTTGTACATCCAGCTGGTAGAGTGTGTATCTGACTGGTGCTGTCCAGGGTGGGGACAGGCTCAATCTATATGGGGAGAGGCTATAGGAATTTTCTGGTGACTAGAGAACTGCTTTGTTGTGGAATGTGGATATTTTTCATGGCTGTGCATTTCATTTTGTTCTCCGTCTGCTTTTTGGAACCAGCTCATGTATTCCCCTGACTGGAAAGAGATGTTATCCTATAATAAATTTTTTAATTGTAATTCTGTATTTTAAATGGGTCCGTTTTGGTCACTTTCTCATATTCTGCTCAGTTGGAGATGATGACATAAAATTGTGCTTCTGGACTTTGGAGTTACAATTAGTCACCTGGAAACTGCCCCTAAATTGCCAGTGGACTGCCACTTGTCCATTGTCAGTCTTCAGGAAAGCTGGTTTTTGGTGTTCTAGGCTAACTTTCTTTCCTACTGTTTTACCATCCCTATCTGAAAGAGCCAGGATTTTTACATCTCAGGTACTTAATTAATTTCAGTACTTCCTCATTATTTTCCCATATTCAAAGAAACCTATGATTATTATAATAGTGCTGGCAATGAAAACAGACCTGTCTCTTCGGTATAGAAGTTAATCTGGCCCCGAATATTCTGAGAGGTTTCAATGAGAAAACCTTGAGGGGTATGTGCAGTGGCAGCAATATGCCGGTCATGTGATATTCCCAATGTCCGCTGAACCTGCCAAGACATTAAAGAGAAGAGCCCCTGATTCATCGCCAAGAAGCAAATTAAGTGGTGAGATTGACACCCCATGATCATCAGCCCAGTGGTTCTCAATCACGGTGCTGCCCAACCCCCTTCTGGGAATTTGGATTGAGACAACAGTGGTGTCGGGTGGGGTGGGCAGGGGCAGCAAAGCCAAACGTCCTGCCATGTTGGAAACTGTATTGTGGGACGAATTGCCCCTAATGCTGATGGCACTCTTGTTAAGGACATGTCACAGACCATACAGCTGGCATGTATCAGTTGGTGTGTAAGATTCTAGTCGTGGAATTGACTGAACTAACTTGATTTTGAGCTCCCTGGTGTTGTCATTGAACACTTGGGCTTATTTCATGCTTGACAGCAAACAAGGCACTCGGTGGACACTTACTGTCAAGCTGGGTCTTGATAGCTACAGTGAGCTGACTATGGCTACTCTTCTATCATAAATTTAGAGATAAGAAAAAGCTCTAATTTAAAATAAAGTTACAGTGGAGTAAGGTCATTATATGTAATCTATTACTCTAAACAAAGATTAGAAAACTAACAGGTTTCTAAGATGAAGAACGAAGAAAACAAACAGCCTCTAACTTTACCGTTGAGCAGACCATCCTTGGGCACTGTGGCCATAAGACAGCAGGGGCGATGAAAGTACCTGGCCCGTGAAGAGGCACCTTGAAAACGTTTACCTTCCTAGCAAACAGGGCTGTCTGGCTGAATAGAGAAATCTTGAGCCAGTGATTCTCCAGCTGCCAGAATTACCCATAAAGTCGAGAGTAAATGTTGCTCTCCCAACTCCCTAAACTGTTCTTTTTGAAATGTCTGGGTCTCTCTAAAGTTCATGGGACTTTCCATTTCCATATATTTTAATATTTTAAAAATGTATTCTCTCCCCTCTCATTTCCACATCTGAGTAAATGTGATGATTCTCTCTCCAGGAAGACACACCCTCTTTGTCCCATGGCTTTGAGCACATTTCCATAGCCCCCAATTAGAGAAGCCAAACCATATGTTTTAGGGATTATTCCTCCATTAAGAGTTTCCATCTACTTTCAGGTCTATTTCATTAATATATAGAGAATCACAGCTTAATAAAGACAACCAGAACCTCACGTTAGTCTAAAACCTGACACACTTTACAAAAGGAAACAAACAGGAAAAAACCTCACAAAACAATTCTCCCATATGGCCAGAGGAGCCCAGGTACCTACCTCATAACTGAAAAAAATGTATCCAGTCTGGTGGGCAAATTGCCAAAAGCATTCTATGCCTCCTGGAGGGATCATGATGGCAAAGTCATATCGATCAGCTCCCCGGAAGAGCGGCTGGTCCCCGGAGCCACTAAGGGGTTCCGTCTTCTGGCTCCTAGCAGAGGTCACTAGGTTCAGAACCACCAGGCCAGCCCCAACAAGCAAAGGGAACATGCTGGTTCCTGGAGACTCCTACAGGTGCACTGCCTGCAGCCCAGTGGAACCAAGTAGTTTAGATAACTGCTGGGGTAATCATTAACTGTACAAGTCACACTTAGGCCAGTTTCAGGGCCACACATAAGTATTCCATAATACACCTGGCATGATACCCCCATGTTTGGCTCACAGGAAGAATTTTTGCTTTGTTTTTACCTAAAAACCTCAGTGGCTTACCAAAGCTACTTCATGGGTGGTAGACAGAATCTACCTCTTCTGAAAAGGTATCTCCATCCTTCCTTTTGGCTGTCATTTTTACAGTTCTTGCTTCTTGGGGATAAATACTAAGTAAGTTTATTTACAGCCATCTGAATATACAGACAGAAGTTGGCCAGGATTTTTCTCTTATTCATATCAAATTGCTAGGTGATATCCATTGCTCTAGTAAAACACAGGGGGCAACATCTGTTTCAGTGGACTTCTTTCTGCCCAATGCTACAGTTTAGAGAGCAGAGCACAACATGAAAGTGTGTGCAAAAATTTAAATGGATGAAGAGTGAGCAAAAGACAGAAATGGACATTTAGAGATTCCAGTGGATGGTTCACCATCCCACAAGCACAGCTGGCCCCGTGGGGGCCCTGAGTGGGCCTCCCACCCTTAGCCACCAGGACAGTGTTTCTGCCAGTCTCTGAGTCCTGCCAGTGTCGAAATGTTTTTATTTCAGCCATGATCTTAACAAAACAGCATTAACAGCTTCTAACCAAGTCTTGCTTCAGAATTCATCGCATTGACCCCAAGTGGTAATACTTGAATTATCACAAGCTAATAAGCAAAGAACAGACTTTATAACTGTGTTCAGTTCTAACAGCGGCCAATTGATGTCACAGTGCTCTGGAGCCACAGTGGCTCTGCAGCAGTCCTGCTAACGTGGAAGGGGGAGACTGGGATAATTTCTCAGTACACAGTGGCACAGGCACCCCCACCCAAGTCCCACAACTGCCACAGTTTTTACACTACTCATGTCATGAGCAGTGACTTAGATTCAACAAAACAGTCAACAGTACATGGTAAGCTGTATAGTTCTGTAGAAGCTGTAGGCTTAGTTTTTTGTTTGTACACATGTCCGTAACACTATAACAACACTAAAGTTAAGTTCAAAAATGTTAATGGACCTGTGCATTTTTCAAATTTGAGAAATGCTGATTAGGATATTTGCCTCCCTAAATGTGTCACAGTTTCACTCTTCTACCCAGAGACTGCCATCTTAATGAGGTGAGAGTTGAGGGAAGAAAAGCTTCTGGATCCGAATCCAATTCAGAGGCAAACCACATGAGATGCAACCAGGTCAAGAGGAGGTGACTGTATGGAGAGGAGATATGTTTTCACTGTAGTTTCATTTGGGGTTAATTGGCTGAAAAACAGTAGTACTAAATCCCAAAACACATAGTTAACAGGTAACAGAGCTGTACAAAATTTCCAACTTGTAACTACAGGATAAACTTTAAAACTTTAGCATTTCTTTACATCTTTCACTCACTCAAAAGTGAGAAAGGATTTGACACAGCTTCCAAAGATTAGAATATCCAATACATTTTGACATTAGCTTTTTAACAGTCAACGTGGTTCAGCAAAACTTGTTTAACATGTATTTATACATGCTGTGCTGCAATTAAACAGCTACTTAAATTTGAGAGAAGCAAGGCTTTAATGAAGAGTGCTACAAGTTATGGACAATAATTAGTTCTCAAATTTTAAAAAATAATTACAGAAAACACTTTACTGATTTTTTTCTTTTTTTGCTAAAAAGACGGTCTTAAAGGATGTCCAAGAGAGACGGCAAGCACAACACAGTACAAAAGGAGAAGGAAATGTTGAATTCCAGTGCAAGACACTAACACAGCACAATTAGGGAATCAGGTGGAAGCAACCATTTCACAAAGAGTGGAATTAGGCATTTATATTCAGTCAGGATATTTTTAAGCTTTAAAAGTCCAGCATAGGAAAGGGAATTGGGAAGAGAGAATTGGGGAGGGGCTAAGCTTATCTACAATCACCAAACACACTGGTTCAACCACATGAGAAGTGGAGGTTAAACCTGCCTATGTAGTCCAGCAAATATTAAGAGCAAATGCCAAGACTAGGTCTAGGTGTTGATGTCACAACAAGCTAAACAGTTTTTAAAGGGACCCTGATTCCACCACAACTGGTCTCTCATTAGCCTGGGCTCATGACGAAGTTCCTTTGCATTTGCATCAGAAGGCCAAAGCTTTACCTGGAACAAGTTCACTCCAAATAATGCTCATGTTGCTGGTTTTAACAGGTCATGGAGTCATAAGTGCTCCTAAGAGACTCCGCCATATCCTAGGAGAAGGTTCTACTGATTACTGGGGATTTAAATTCAAGCAAACCACTGAAGAAGGGAAATACTAATGATATTCTGGCACTGTACAAGCTGTCTGCCTGTCATCTCTGCCAAGGACATAGGGTAGACTTGGCTTTGTCTTTCAGCTCCATGATCTCCAACAGTGATGAAGTGGAACTGGGAGCTCCCCCACATCAGAGGAGGATGCCGAAAATTTTCATCCCAGCCCAGCTTCTGAAAGAAAGAGCAGATTATCGGGGCTATTAATTAGGAACCATACTCCTGTGAATCCTGGGGAAATGAAAGCTTGTTTCAATTCATGCCAAGTCTTTTCATGGTCCGCCAGCGATCCTTAATCATCACAGCTGTTCGGTTAACAAATGGGTAATTTTTAGAAATGGCAGCCCAGTTTCCTTCCCCGAATTTCTGCACTCCAGCCTTGATCCACTCGCTTTCTTCTACAGTCCACTTCTGCAAAAGAGAACCAAAGGATTTATTGCCTGTCTCTCCACTTACTCACATTTTCATACAGTGAACAGGTAAATTCAAGAATCCTAAAAGAATAATCTGAACCCAATAGAAGGCTTTGATACAGATAATAAATTAACACTGGATTTGGATATTTAATAATTTTCAACATCCTGCCATTTCATCTTCAACTAATAATCACTTATGCATTCAAACTTCAAACGTGTGTTGTTCATGGTCAGGAAGATGTGTTAGGTTTCTGTCCAACTAGATTTTGCTTCCAGAGGGTAACTACATGTCATTGATGGGTTCTGCGACTTTAACCAAAATGACATATAACAAAACCAATTTTACCATAGGCTAATTGATATAAACAAGAGTTAAGTTCCTACAGCATCAATCAACATTATAACAAAAAGACATAGAACGAAAGGACGTTATTCAAGGACCTGCTGTATTTAACTTAGTTGGATCATCAGAAAAACAGAAACAATATTTTGCCAGATGCATGGGTCATCTATCTGTGAGATGTGGGTACTTATTTTACTTCTGTTCGACCCACACAATCACAAAAGATTAGAAAAGAGAATTTAAATTACCTGCTTTTTTGTTACACTGGTTGTACTCTCTTCGTCTGGTGCTGCTGGAAAACATTAAAAGTAGACTCATTTCAGAGTTCACCTTTCTCTGCACAAACCACCATAAAAAGATACAGAATGTCCCAAAGGTCCCTGGCTGTTGTGGCTCAGTGGATTGAGCGCCAGCTTGCAAACCAAAGGGTCACCAGTTCGATTCCCAGTCAGGGCAAACGCCTGGGATGCAGGCCAGGTCCCCAGTTGGGGAAGTGTGAGAGGCAACTACACACTGATGTTTCTCTCACTCTCTCTCCCTTCCACTTTCTCTAAAAATAAATAAATAAAATCTTAAAACAAAAAAGAATGTCCCTAGAGGGAAAGCCTGATTCAAATCTGACAATCTTTGAGGAAAGAAAGAAAGGACATCACTAAAGGATGATTTGTTTTGTCCCTTGGAAATCTGTACAAAGCAAATATTTACAAAAAAGTATTCAATAAGTGTTGGTTAATGAGGGATTTGGGGCTCTTTAATAAAACTAACATTTTCTAAAGTTACCAAGGGACTGTGTTATTTAAAACCCTAATACATACATATACTTGTCTATACATATATAACTTCTGCTTTATCACCCCTTGCTAACCACTGTTTTGAAATAACAGTTTTACTGTTTCATGCTAGAATTTTCAAATCCCTGATAATTTTTATGTAAGTAAAAGTAAGTTCAATTCCTTAAACAAAAGAACAAGGTAACAATTATGGCTTCCCACTCTGAGAGACCATGTGAAATCTGCTGAAGTTCCACCCTCCCACCATATAGAAAGAGATCAGGCTTCAAGAAACATGGACCAAAGTAATTTCTTAAAGGGCCAGAGGGTTACAGGCAGCTATACAAGTATAAAAGACATGCCATTTCAAGACAATGAGAGCCAGTTAAAAAGCTGCAAGAAAAGGCAAAGCTGCATAAACATGAAGCTTGCTGGTGTGTCTGCCCCAGCAGATGCCACTGTCCCAACAGTGCTTCCTACACAATGGAGGAAGGTGGCTTGGGAGCAGATTATTTATTTTTAAATTATGAAGTATTTCACACTGTAGTGGAAGCAGATATCTAAAGCTGAAAAATCTGGACTGCCTTACAAGTGGGTGTTTCCTAACTTTTATATCCTGGTGTTTTTAAATATTTAATGGCATTTTTATTGATTTTCTGTTACTTCCCCCATTTTCCCTGTCATCTGGATCTTGCCAACTATGTTTCTGGCACTAAAGTTACTTTTTAAAGTTGAAATTTAGGGATTGGTAATGGATTACTGTCGTTGTGTTACCAAAGTGCTTAGAATCTCCAAAATTAAGGTTTAGTACTTACATATTTCCATAGAATAAAAAATATGTGGTAGGAGAGATTCTAATGCAAATGCTATGAAGTCAGTAATAATTATGAAAAAGCGAAGTTTCTCATCTTAAAAAAAGGTAGAAACTGGTAAGAGATTTTTTTACTTAAAAATGCAAGGAATGTCCTTTTCTAATTAAAAGACTTTAGGAAAACATCAACTACAATTAAATACAGGAGTTATTACAATAAAACCAGGAATTTTCTTTCATTACAAAGTGCTGCTTTGTAATGACAGTCTGCATTGTTTAATGGGAAAGGACATAAACTGACTCCTCAGGAGTCACAATAAGGAACTTACTAAACTTTTTCTGGTTGGGAGATAAGCAGTTTCTGGAACATTTATGTGATATTTACATGCATCTCACACTTCAGCAACTGTCAAGGAGAGTCTCCTAGCTTACCCTGAACATCAAACAGTTCGTCCTCTTCCACCCAAGTCTCTTTTTCTTCAACCCCATTAGAACTGTTCCACTTGCCTTTGGGTAACCTGAGGAGAGATCAGTGAGAGGACAAGTTGTAAAACAAAATCATCCTGGGCCATCCTGTATTCTGCCCTCAGCTCACCTGCAGCCCTTTCTCCTTGTTTTGCTGTGACCCATTTGAGGTTCTCCTACACACAGCTCCCCAGTCCTGGTCAGGTAGCTCCATGTTATCACCCCTCAAGCTCAGCACTGAATACATCACCATTCATTTTCAATATTCATCTTTAATGCTGTCTGGTTTTTCTGCAAATGAGTGATGAAAGCAGTTTGCTTCCTAAGTGCATAGGCTTGAAAAAAATTCCTTGAGTTCCATGAGTTTTCTATGCAATTACCTAATTAAGTGGCTGTTCTATTTACTTTCCTTTGTTTTTGAATTGGATCATATCCCCCAAATGTTATTTCTAAGAATAACTTACTTGTTTGAGACAAAGTAAAGGATGTGTTTTCATTTTCAGGATATTAAAGTCAGCTTAAGTTTCCTGTCTATTTATCCTAGTGCTGGGATAAAAGTGACTTTACCCACTGATTCTGTCATTTTCACCCAAGGAGCTGTTCAGTCGTCCTGCAGACCACCATTGCAGATGAGTGTGTGGTAACCTCCTCCTGCTCCTCCTCTGAACTGGGCATTTACTGTGTGTGCAAATGTTTTGGTACTTTTAAATTTCTCATGTTGTGGAAGGGGCTGAGATCTGGGTCCTCAACCTGTTAATGGCTATGCGACCAGGCAAGTCAGGTCACTTCCTGGTGCTTGTGCACTTTACTGGTGAACTGAGGATTTGAGAGTGGTCTAGAGGGGTCGGCAAACTAAAGCTTGTGGCTCCTGGTTTTTGAACAGCCCTTGAACTCTCAAAAATGGTTTTTACATTTTCAAAGGGTTGTAAGGAAAAAAAACAAGCATATGCAACAGATACATAAGTGGTTCACAAAGTCTAAAATGTTAAAAGTTTTGCTGGCCTTTTATAGAAGTTTTGCATGGGATCCCTTAAATTGCAAAAACCAATAATCATTTTACTTGGTTAATAAATATCTAGTAAGCACTTGTTCATGCCAAGTGCCATGGGGGATAAAAAAATGTAGTTAAGTCATGGTCTTGCCCTTCAGGCAACATACCCTAACCCTGCCGTCCCCTCCTCTTCCACTGGCCCTGCTTCCCCCAAGTCCTGACTGCTCACCTGGCAGCAGGGGCTAGCCACCCTCCCTCTCCCCTTTTCCTCAGCGCCTGTTCAGAAGCCCTCAGTGGTGTCAGACCTTCAGATTAGTTGGGTTAGAGTTACTTGGGGCATAGTTAGAAAAGCATATTACAGAGCATTCCCCTGACCTTTCTTATTCAGTAGCCATGAGACTGGGAATATGTATTTTTAAACATTCTATAGGTAATTGTGATATGAAGCCCAGTTTGAGAACTTCTGCCTCATAGAATATGATACGAAGTCAAGTTCTGGCCCATCTACCCATCCAAACTTTTCTCCCTTCTTCCTCTCTGCGTCGTATTCTATGACATTTTTCAGAGCATACCAGGCTTTTTCATGCCTTTATGCAAAGAGCTCTTGCTGCCTAGAACTCCTAGCCCCCCAATATGCTTGATGACCTCTTACTCCTCCTTCAAGGCCAACTCAGTATTTGCTCCTCTGCAAAGTTTGCTCCACCAATTCTGCTGAGCACTCAGCTCTTCTTCCCTGGAGCTCCCAGTGCCCCTCTCACACACTTCCTTTAGAGCCTGGGTCATGAGATCCCTCTTCTGCAAAGGGCCAGGTAGGATCTTCGGTTTTGCAGGCCTTACTGTTTCTGTTGCAACTACTCAATTCAATGTAGCATCAAAGGTAGCTACAGACAATACAGCCAGACAATACATAAATGATAGATGTGGCTGTGTTCTAATAAAACTTTATTTACAAAAACAGGCAGCAGACGGATTGGACTTGGGCTATAGTGTGCCAACCTCTGCTTTAGAGTATTCATCATACTTCATAACCTTGACACATGACAGAGGTGATTTTGTCTGAAACCCTCACAAATCCTCCCATTAATAAAACCACTGTACTCATGCACTCTATCCATTTTTCTCATCTGTTCATGGGGCAATACCTAGATTTCACAGGATCGCTGGAGGACTAAAGGAGAACATGTATAAAATGAGAATAGAGGAGTGCTGAGCTGCACTTGTTTGGCCACCTGTAGCTCCCTCACTTCCAAATACAGGTAGTGGTGCATGTAGTGCAGATTAGTGCCTGAGTATGTGTCACTTATCGGATGCCACAGTCCCACAGGGCACCTAGCACATGCTGCCAGAGCACTGGTACCCGCACTACAAGAGCAGCGGTAGAGATGACAGTGGCTTTGGGAGACCAACGAGGTGATCTCTTCCAGCAGGGTGACCAAGGGAATTCACGGAGGCGGCAGAATATTTAAGAGGCAGCCTGTGCTAAGTGGTGTACAGGCAGGCCATGGGCCTTTGTATCCAATGTGACCTGGATTAAAAGTCCCAACGCCCAACTTTCCCACTTTTCAGCTCTGTGACTTACTGCAAGTTAATGACTTTTCTGAATCTTCCTCATCTATAAAACAGAGCTAATAATATATCACTGAGGACTGCAGATTCAGTAAAACAATACATGGATGTACATGGCCCACAAAAAGTGCTTCTCTTCCCTTTGAAGGACGGATGGGATTCTGACAAGCAATGATGGAAGGATGATAGTCCAACTGTGGGAAATGACAAGGAGCAAGAATACAGTAGTAGAAACAAACACAGCATGTTCCAGAGAGAGCAAGCAGACCACTTTGCCTGGAGGAAGGATCCACAAGAAGGCACAAAGGGTAGCGTAACTGCCAGGTCAGGGGTCAGGATGGGGAGCCAAATGAAAGCGTTCTAACCGCTGCTCCATAGAACCTAACAATGTGACAGATTAGTAAATATTTACTGAATTTGGCAAGTCTCAAAAGCTCACAGAAGGTATAAAACTGTTAACATTCATAAATCTCTAGTTAGTAGTCAAGGTACTCAGAAGTCTGCTTAAAATGAAAGCAGCCACAAGTAGGGAGCTCCGAAACCCTTCCATCCTCACTCATGCCCTAGTGCAATGCCTGGAAGCCCACGTGTGGGTCTTCGGAACTGGCAGGGATGGCTACGTCGTCACTCCCCACTCCTGAGTCACATTCTAGCAGTCTGGGCAAGCCTTGGTGGTGAATAGCTTAGTTGAAAGTTACTTCATTCACAGAAGCAATACCAGGCCCAACCAGGACCACCAACCAGCCCCCAAACTCCTATAAAGAAGGTCTTCATACTTGGGATTCTTCTCCCTGGGGAGCGGTTGGTTGAGAACAGCAGGCTTGGATGGTGACGATGGAATGACTTCCTGAGAGGAGTCGAGGCCTGGGCTCAGCTCAGTACTCTGACTATCCTCTTCCAAAACCAATCTGCTTATTGTCATACGCTTGGTCTTGGGCTGCAGTTCAGAGCCACCCTCTCCCTCAGCAGGGGCTGAACTTTCGTTTTCATCTTTTCTCGGTCTCTTGTTTTTGAGGGCTGGCGATGATGGGGATGTTTTATTAGGAAGTACCAGATCTTTCTGGTCCAGTTTTGAAAAGACTGCCTCAGAATCTTGTGAACCGGACAGAGTCTTGAAAGCTGCTTTTAGAGTCATAATTCCAAAGGTGGTAGGAGTATTCCGTAGCTGCCTACAAACAAGGCAAACATACAAAGATCAGTTTAATCACTGTTGATACTTTTCCAAACAGCCACAATATTTTCAAAGTGTGAAGCTTCATATTAGCAGAGGATTCCTCAAAGTGACAATTTTTCATTAAAAGAGATACAGAGAGGTTGCTTGATACAACATTTATTTATAAAATCTTCCATTTAAGTTGAACTATGGAGTTTTAATTCCAAATCAGAGAACCTTAGCAGAATGAGGGCCAAGGATACTCCTTCCAGAGACCTCTTTAGTCTGTATGAGGTCGAACCCATTAGTCTACGGGCTAATGCAGTGTTTTCCTCTATGTAAGAATTCTGCACAGTGACTAACAAATTCAAGTACATCTGGACAACCTACTGATAATCCAGCAATTTCGCCTTGAAGTCTGAACTCTTCTTCCATCTGTCCCAGTCCAACTCTCAGGTGACAGAAGTGAAAGACCAGTCTCCATTCTGCCCATTTTCTCCTACAATACACTTGTGAGTGGGATCTTGAGAATTCGCTAAGAAGTGTGCCACACTGACTTGGAACAATGAGAAACTGCCTTTTCCAAATGAAGTTCATCTACCATTTGGAATAGCTAGCATGCTTTAAGTAAAAACTGTTAGGAGAGAACAAACTGGCAACCTGTAGGCCAAACCCAGTTGGAAGATGTCTTCTTGCCTAACCTATGCAAGTGTTCTTTTAAAAACTGGACAACTGCCAACAGTAAAAAACTGGGAAGGCTAAAAATAAAAAATGAGACATCTCACACAAAAATCTGAACTGAAGCTTGGGCATCCTTGGACAGTTTCACACAGCAACAATCACGAGGCTAAAAAGCATGCCGTCTCTGGTTCACAGTTCCATGAAACTCTCCATTTCCTACCAGGCCCCAAAGGCATCTAAATTTTTGATCCCTGCTTTCACAACTGGCCTTGGGAATCTGATTCATAAGTCTGAACACTGTATTAGGAGGTCAGATATCAACAGAAAATACCGAGTAGATAAGAGCGAGGCAAAGAGAACAGGAGGAAAGAACCTTTGAGGGATAGCGAGTCGGATGTCAGATCCAGGCCTCACAACCCTAATTTTCTAAGGGTATGCTCTGTAAAACCCCTACGCCTTGTATGAGTAACCCAGTAGTAACATGTTAGGAGATCAAATCACCAGAAGGAACTAACTGATCTTGCTCTAAGGAAGAGACTATGTTTCAAAAAGACCACACCAGTGTTTCACCCAAGATCACAAAAGGGCATATCTCTCACCTCACAGGTTCTCTGGGTGGCTTTTCCACAGGCTCTGGTGCTGGCTGTTTTTCTTCCTTCACTGTAGTTGATGCAGCAGATTCAGATTTCAAAGCCTTTTTGGCCATCTGGGAAAGGAAGGACATCATTAGGAAGTGGAAGCCACAGAATTTCATTAATTTTCTGCTTCTATAACCATGAACATCCTCAATATGCAAACACGTTCACCTACAAATCCAATGTAGGCATAAACTAGAGGGAGCCATAAAAAGTAAGAGAACTTCCAAGAATGATCTCAATTTCTTCCTTCTTTTTAAAAAAAAAACGCTACAGTTTCTATGCTAAAGAACTCAGTTTGAGTATGCTAACCATCTTGACATTGCAAAAATTCCTCATGGGATTTTAATTCGCATTTCCTCTTTCATCCCTCCAATCTCATCCCTAATCTAGTTTTTGAATCTCAGATATGCCTTAGGGGTCATGTATAAAAGGCAAACTTTTTTCCCCCCCAAACTTACAAAAACAAATGTTTATATTAATGTCTTTTAGTTTGTGTATAGAATTTTTTATGACTGTATGTTCACAAATATGTCTTGCCTTTTGACCACTCTTTGAAAATCCTTACTCGTACCACATAAAACCCAGAGTAGACCCATCTTGCTCTGACTCCAACTACTCATCTGTCTCCCTCTGACAGAAGTGTTACACATTTCCAATCAGTCCAGTATATTCCATTTCAAACACATGTTTGTAACAAGTGATGTCTTAGAGTTGAGAGTTCTAACCTCACACAGAAACAGTGGAACGTTATCTTCCAGTTACCTGGAATACAAATGAAAGATTCCTAGGCCAAGCTCAAGTATCCTGACCCTTACTCCTTGATTATTCCTAACTATCCGCTTTGCAAATAATTTGAGATTTACCAAATGACTGCTAGGATCACTGACACTATCCTAATATAGGCCTTGCACATCTACTGTTATGAGCCACATCTTCAATACTCTCAGAATCTTGGTTTAAAAAAAAAAACAAAACTCCTACTCAGTTTTCCCTTATCACAGTCCACCTAGGACAGACTGGGTTCTGATTTTTTTACAAACTGTCTTGAGCCTCATTGTTTCCCTTCCTTATTTTTATCTCTTTGATCCCGTTAAAGAATGTCTTCATTTGGCTTCTTTTCTTGGCTATGCGTTCTTCCTGTTAACAACCCCATCATACTACATCTAATAAACCACTCTTCTTTCCAAATTTAACTCGAATTTCATCTCCTCTGGGAACCACCATCAACTGTAACGTGAATGTTCTGCTTTAACCACAACACATTAATTGCATGTAGAGGAGGTAAAATGGGAGGTAAGGGAGACTGGGTTTGTTTCATTTGCCTCTGCCAGGATCTCTGCTTCTTATACTGAAGGTATTTAATAAAGGAAGATCGTGCATATAATTCAGTCTTTTCCACACATTTACTCTTTCACTCCTAAAAAAAGTCTGTCCTTTTTCATTGCCCGCACATCCTCCAGACCAGATCAAGGTTATGAGAAGAGAAGGCCAAGGCCCACCGTGAGGAGGTAGGGCTCTGCATTATCCAGGTGACTCTCCAGGAAGCGCAGCATCTTCTGCTGGAAGGTTTCATAGGAAAAGTTCTGGATAACAGGGTGGGCCAAGTTCTTCTCACGGATAATGTTCAGGAGATCATTTCTCAGCTTCTACACAAAGGACCAATATTGGCAACATGAGAAAGGAGAACTGCAGTAAAAATTCAATGATGATAACTTGAGACAACACTATCATAGGTTTCACAACACTCTCAAAGAAAATCACTGGCACACACATGAAGGGAAGCCCACCATGAAGAACGGGTCAATAAATTAAGGATTTTTTTCCCCTGGGTTTTGCATGGGTTACTATGCAGCTGTAAAATAATGATTTAGAACTTAGGTCCTAAAGTATCTTTATACATTTACAGAAAGATTTCTTTCTTTCTTTCAATTAGCAATAATTGTGCCTTGGATAAATTTCATTGGCTACGATAGTGCCATTGTGCAAAGCTCATAAAGATTTTAAAGCTTTCCAACTCCTGCCCCCACTAAAACACAAAAAGAATAAAGAAGCTCTGTATGTGCTGATATAGAATGATCTCCAAGATACAGTAGGTGAAAGAAACAATTTACAAAAATGCTCAAATTAGTTTGTAGAATATGCTCACATATGCATATACATGTATGTCTGTATATACACATTCTTGCACACTTTTTTGCTTGCATATACATAGAATGTCTCTGAAAAGATAAAAAGCAAAAAATACTGGTAGTCTCTGAAGAGAGGAACAAGATGGCTGAGTCAGAGATTAAGAAATTTTCACTAAGTTCTTTCATTGTACTTCTTGAATTTTTTATTATGTACATACATTACCTTTTCAAAAACTAAAATTTAAAAGAAAAGGAAACAAGAGGAGGGTCCCAAAAGAGTACCAGAAAATGGAGTTAAGTCCTTACAAAAGCAGATTCTCAAGCCTCAGGATCTGCATTTATGGAAGTAAAGTTAGAAGTGTTACAAAACTTGATAGCTTGATACTTGCCTTGGTGTTGGTCACTGAAATAAATGTTCTGTCACAAACCAGACAGAAATGCGCAAGTAAATGACTTATATAAATTTGTCTAATAAAAAATAAATTTTTCAAAGCTATTCTAATAGTAAGTTATCCTGGATATAAAGACAACACACTAAAGGTGCTGAACATTTAAAGATGAATATTTAGATAACATTCCTAATGGAGAACCCTTTCTCTGTTTTCCCACTAAAAAACAATGAAAAGGATTTAAGTCTTAGAAGCAAAATACAAATTTACCTGAGTTGTGGGGTCCTTGGACATATGTTTTTTCAAAATCTTTGAAGCTTTTTCAAATTCTTTATTTTTGATACAAATAATGACAGCCTACAAAAAGGGGGAAAAACCTTTTTTTAACTGTTGTAATAACAGGTGTCATGAGAATATCAAATATCAAAATAAGCTCTACTAAAAAGTAAAACTGAGTATTACATCCCCATGAGCTTTTTCACATTCTATCAGATTCCTGTACTCAAAAACTAACAATTATTATTCAAGTGTTACAAACAACTGTAAGCTCTCTTTCCATGTATAGGATAGTAGATTTTCAGCACTACACTGGAATTTTTAAAAAAGGATCAGGTACAGCAAAATATGATCCCCTAGATTACAGACCATTTATGCAATCTGAAAGGCAAAATGGACAGGAGTCATTCCAGGTCCCCAGAACAATTAGTTCTGTTCTTTTAAGATGCAAAAGCTTTGATGTAATAGAGGGAAAGAGGGGAGTATATATTGCAAAAAACATTTTACAGTGACTTGCTGACTAGAGTTCTGCTAGTTCCATTCAGAAAAGGCCTGAGGCCAGTTCCGTAGAAGAACTCTCACTACTGTACACCCCAGCTGGCAACTCCAGTTACAGTGTGCAGAGAGTTACTGGGACGGGCAACCCCAGCTCATCCACAGGCAGCAGCGAAAGAGAACAAAGTTCCAGTGAGGACATCTCATCAGTGACAGAAAAAGAAGAGTCCTTGGGTAAAAAGAAACCCAAGAGACTGTATGTAGAGGAAAATGAACAGTAATTGAATATTAAAAAGGGTATTTTAAAAATATGTACTCATTTTTTAAAAAATTAGAAAGGCCAGGGGGAAACTGGGAGTACTTGGAGTTATTTAACAAGGTAATGTAGCTGCCTTACATCCTGTCTCAAGAGAGGTCTCAGACATACCTCACATACAAAAGGAAAGAAAAGTGGTTCACAGATACTTTCAGTCTTCACAGGAATGAATGCAGGGAGAAACAGACCAAGAGTAGGAGGAATAGCAAGGGAATTCAGTAAGTACTAATCTCTGGTAATCCCGTTAACATGCCGAGTACAGCCCCACAGAGCAAAGGAAACTGGTGTCAGGTGCTCCTGAATGCACAAGCCTAAGTTCTTGTTGCCCATGGAGTATGAAGTCAGTCTTTTCATTTTGATCAGATGACCATATTCACTTTTACATCATTTTCAGCAGAGAAACTATACTAAAACTGTATTTACTTTCTTGAACACAAAGGTTTTTCTTTTTATAAATCAGTTACATCCTATCATACTTTTAAATTTTATTTACCTTGCATACAGTAAAATTAAAGTTTTTATACTGTTGAGTTTTAACACATGTATTGCCTCTTGCAACCACAATGTGAGGATAAAAAAACGAAACCTCCCTTGTGCTGCCCCTCTGTAGTCCTGCCATCCTCCATCCCTGATCTTTTCATTGTTGTCTCTTCAAGAATGTTAAATAAATGGATTCATACAGTACAAAGTACTTATTTTTTTTTAAAGGACATAGCCTTGAGACTACCTTCTTTCCCTGAGTCTATCTTTGATATCCATCTATGTTGTCGCATCACCAATAATTCCTTCGTTTTTATTGCTGAGCAGTATATCCCATCCTATGGAAATCTACCATTGGCCTATCTATTCGCCTATTGAAGGACATCTGGGTTGACTGCAATTTTTGGTGACTATGAAGAGATGCTAAAACATTTATGTACAGGTTTTAGTATAAATATAATTTAATTTCTTTAAGATAAATACCCAGAAGTGGGATTGCTGGGTATTACGGAAAATATAGGTTTTACTGCTTAAGAAATAGCCAAACTGTTTTCCTGAGTGGTTATATACCATTTTGCATTCCTATCAGCAATGTATGAGAGTTCCAGTTGCTCCACATCCTAACTAGCACGTTAGTGTTAGTATTTTTTAAAGTTTAGTCACTGTAATAGGTATGCCCTAGTATTCAGTGGTTTTACTTTTTATTTCTCCATTGACTGATGTTGAGCATCTTCTCATGTGCTTATTTGCCCTCTGTATATTCCCTTTGTGTGTCTTTTGCCATTAAAATAGGGTTGTTTCTTTCCTTTTGAGAGTTCTTTGTGTATTTTGGATACAAATCCTTTATCAGATATAAAATTTGCTAGTATTTTTTCCTAGTCTATAGCATGTCTTTTCTTAGTAGTTTTCTCAGAATGCAAGTTTTAAATATGATGAAATCTAGTTACCATTTTTTCTCTTATGGATCATACTTACAATGTCGTATCTAAGAACTTTTTGCCCAAATCCAGGACATGAAGAATTTTTTCATGTTTCCTGCTAAAAGTTTTATAGCTTTACACTTTACATTTAAATTATGATTCATCTTGGGGGTTTTTTAAAAAGATTTTATATTTACTTTTAGAGACAGGGGGAGGGAGAAAGAGGGGAGAGAAATGTCAATCAGTTGCCTCTTGTAGGCTCCCAATTGGGCGTGTGCCCTGTGACCTTTTGGTTCACAGGCTGGTGCTAAATCCACTGAGCCACACCAGCCAGGGCAGATTATGATCCATTTTGAATGAATTTTTCTCTCAGATGAGTTTTAGGTCAAGGTTCATTTTTTTTGCAAGAGGACGTTCAACTGTTTCGATACTGTTTGTTGAAGACTATCCTGTTTCCATTGAATTGCCTTCATGTTTTTTTTTGCCAAAAATCAACGTCATGTTTGTGTGGGCCTATTTCTGGACTCTCTCTTCTGTTCAACACTGATCTACATGTCTCTAGTCATTAGTACCATAGCTTAACAGGAATTCTTAAAATTGGTTAGTGAGTCTTCCAACTTTGTTCTACAGAACTTTTATTTTCGTACCTCTCCCCTAACATTTTAGAATCAGTCTATATCTACAGAAGATCTTACTGAAATCATGATTATATTAAACCTAAAGGTCAACTGGAGAAAAATGACATCTTAACTATGTACTGTAAAGTTGTCCAATCCACAAACATGGTATATCTTTCCATTTATTAGGTCTTGATTTCTTTCATCAGCATTTTGTATTTTTTCCACATACAGATCTTACACGTTTTGTTAGACTTACACCTAAATAGTTTTCTTTTCTGGAGCTACAGTAGTTTCCCGTGGTCAACTGCAGTCCAAAAATATTAAATGGAAAATTCTGGAAATAATTCAAAGTTTTTAAAATGGGCATTGCTCTGAGTAGCGTGATGAAACCTTAGGCTGTCCTGCTTTATCCCACCTGGGATGTGAATTATTCCTTTGTCCAATGTATCCTTGTAGTACATGCTACCTGCCTGTTAGTCACTTAGTAGCTACCTTGGTTATCAGATTGATGGTCCCAGTATCATAATGCTTGCATTCCTGTAACCCTTATTTTACTTAATTATGGCCCCAAAGCTAAAAGTGGTTATTGTGGAAATTAGCGTATGCCAAAAAGATGCTATTAGTGTTATGCATAGGAAAAAACATAGTATATATAGGGTTTGGTATTATCCATAGTTTCAGGTGTCCACTGGGGATCTTGGAATGTATGCCCCGCAGATGGGGGCGGGGAGGATTGCTATATTGTAAATGGCTCTGTTTTGGTGATTTCATTTCAAATCCTTTACTGCTAGAACATGGAGATGATTGATTTTTGTGTTGATCTTATATCCTACTATCTTGCTAAACTTAGTATAGCTTTTTTTCTTTTTGTATATTCCATTGGATTGTTTAAATAGAGGGTGGGGGAAGAGTAGGTTTACAGTTATATGTATGCAAAAGTTTATTCTTGTATTAGTATTTCTTAATAATTCTATAATTTTCCATACTAACTGTAAACCTACTTTTGCCCTACTCTAAATATGGTGATATCATCTGCAAGTAAGGACAATTTTATTCCTTTCTAGTCTGTTGCCTTTTATTTCTTCTTCTTAACTTACTGTACTAGCTAGATCTTCTAGTATGATATAGGATGGAGGTAGTGAGAGTGGATTCCTTGCCTTCTTTTTGGATCTTAAAGACAAAGCATTCACTCTCCACCATTAAGTATGATGTTAGCTGTAGGTTTCCTGTAGATGTCTTTTATCAGGTTAAGGAAGTTACTTTAGTTACTTTATTCCTGGTTTATGAGTATTTTTATCATGAACTAATGTTGAGTTTTGTAAAATGCTTTTTCGCCATCAACTGATATCATCATAAGGTTTTTTTTTCTTCTTTAGGTTAATAGGGTAGATTACATTGATTGATTTCCAAATACTGAACCAGCTTTGCATTTCTGGGCTTTAGTTTCCCTACCATGCGACACACTAACTGCATCTGTATCCAAGGCTAAGCAACAGGATGTACAGTGAAAATGATGGAATTTGCTCCAAGTTCTGGGGATCAAAGCTCCACTGCCATAGAGAAAAGGTCCCTTCCCTACTGCCACGTCATCACCGGGCCACTGCTGCCACCGCTGCAGCACTGCCTGGGTGCTGGGACAGAAGAGAAGGGAGAAAGCGGGGGAAAGCAAAACAAAACAGGGATTTCTCGCACCCTTTCTGACCCTTAGATGATCTCTTTCTTGCTCTTCAGACCAGAGAGAACCTCTCGGAGTTCTTTCTGTTCACACCTGGAATGCACTTCCAGGTTTCAGAAGCCTTCAAGTCCAGGCTGGAAGATACCAGACAAGGAAAAAAGGGTAAACTACTCATCACCAGTTTGGTAGACTCAAATTTTGGTGTTCTTCCCCGTCTGCTTACTACCATTTACATTCCCAAGTCCTCAGAGAGCTGTTCCATACATTCTATGCAGGACTTAAACTTGCAGCATTAAGGGAAGCAGAAGAGAGTATGCCTTATCCATTCCAGAATTGGAACACAGGCCCTATTATATTTAGAAAGGAAGTGTGAATGCTTTCAAAATCTAAAAGCCTGCCTCCAAAGTTTGTGCTATAAGCTTATCTTTTTAAAGCTAAGTATTAATTTCCTCTGAAGATTTCTGTTAATTAGGTTAACCATTGTTTTTTCACTTGAGAGTATTCAGAAGTGTAATTTCTTCTCTTTATGTGTTTATTAAAGTTCTGGGGGTGCAAGCGAAAGCAATGATCTCTTGCTAACTTAAACAAATGGCAATTCCAAGCACAGATTTTCAGTAGATATGAGATAGGTTTATGTTTGGGGAGAAAAGACAGAAAACGCAGAGGAAGGAAAAACCAAATTCACAGAAGTGAAGAAAGGCTAAAGAGGTAAACTCAGAAAGAAACCAGGCTGTTATGGGAAGCAGGACTGCTCAAAGCTTTGACCAAGCTTTTTGTTTCAAGAATTAAAGTTCTAAGGAGACTGTGTCATACTCTAGCCCCCAAAGTGGGATAAAGTGCTAAAAGAAAATCAATGTGCTGTTACCAAGGTTCAGGGAGAATGATGCACAGCAAAAAGCAACAAATCAATGCTTCTCTGAGAACATACCATACATGTTATTCCCTCCTGTTTTGGCAGAAATCTTAACTGAGGAATGTCTCTTTTTTGAGAAAACCAATGAAGTCTCAGTATCATTAACAGCTTACAGAAGCAGTTCTCAAACTTTCTGGTCTTGAGATCACTTTATACTCTTGAATGCTACTGAGGATCCCAAAGAGCTTTTGTTTACATGGGTTACATTTGTTAATAATGACCGTATTAGAAATATAAAACTGAGGAAATTTAAAGATATTTATTGTCATTAAAGATAACAAAAAGCTCATTACAAGTTAACATAAATATATCTTTATGAAAAATTATTATATTTTCTAAGACAAAAGTTTAATGAGAAGGGTGGCATTGTTTTACATTTTTGCTATTCTCCTTAATATTTAATAGAAGATGGATTCTATATCTGCTTATGCATTCATTCTGTTGTTTTAGTTGAAATAAAAATATATAAATATATATACATAAATACATATAAAATCTGGCCTCTCACAAATATGAAGTTGGAAAATGGAGGAATATTTTAATAGCGCTTTCAAAAAATTACAGCTATACTTTGACTCTACACCAAAGCGTGGCAAGTGAACTTTTCATCATCTGTTACATTAAAATGAGTTGCTCTATCTTGTGCTTTATTTTTATTTTTTTTAAAGATTTTATTTATTTTTGGACGGGGGCGGGAGGGAGGAGAGGGAGAGAAACATCAACGTGTGGTTGCCTCTCGCTCATCCCCTATTGGGGACCAACCCACAACCTGGGCATGTGGCTTGACTGGGAAACTGGCAATGAACCACACCAGCCAGGGTCTACCTTGTACTTTAAGTGGGTATTTTACCCACCAATGATTTTTGTAATATAATGCAGCTTAATCATCTGGAAAATATTGGTTCCTCGAATTATGTAGATCTTCCACATATTGACAAATTCATTAAAAAAATTTGTTAACTCAGAGCTGTTAATACCACCATCAGTCTTATCGGAAAAGTTGAAGAATTGGGAAGCTATCATGCACATGAATACAAGTTTCTCAAAATTCTAATTTTCACTTGAAAGCTTGAATTTTATCATTGGCAACAAATACTGTCAATTGTTTTCCCTAAAGTGACAAGTTCATTTTGTTCTTTCTCAAGAAAATGACTGCCAAATACCCATAGCTGAATAACCAATGTTTATCAGTTCTTTCAAGTAAAAATGGTGTTCCATCAAAGCAGCTAGGTCAGCATGCAACTCGATCACACTAGTGCTTTTCCTGAAGACAGCCATCATGCTTGCAGCCAAAATGCTTTAGGCAAACTTCCTATTTTGTCACACAAAATAATGAAAAGATGTTTACTCTAGGGTCTAGATTTAATAAAATTAGTAATTTTTACTGCTTCCTCATAGATATTCTTAATCAAAATTGGCTTTTAAAAAAACTGCAAGCATGTGGCAATAAAGAATACAATGACTACAGTACAATTTACTATGACTGCCTTGATCCTGCCAGGGCACCAATTTTACCCATCATTGCTTTTGCATCACCGTGCAAATGTCAATACGTTGAAAAAGTCAACTAATGTTTGGCATTGTTATGAAAATTGTTTTTGACCTGTTAAAGGATCCCCCGAAGACCTGCAAGAGATTCCCCGACCATCCGTTGAGATCTAACTTAAGAAAAACTCACCTGATAAACTTATTAAAATAATCCAATATACTTTCAAATAAATTGTGAGACACTTTAAAAAGCTGAAAATGAACGAAAAAGCCTCATTGAGCCTAGGCATCCCAAGGTATTTTCCTAATGATCATTAACAGATTTTGTGGTCCTAAATGAGAAATGGGGGTGAGGGGGACTGAACAAATGATACAGTATTATTTAGTAACTAGTAGATCAAGGTAATTTTGGTAGCCAGTCTCTAAGATGGCCCCCAATGATCCCTACTTCCTGCATAGTCCCCATGCCATACACTAATCTGGAGCTGGTCTGGTCTATGTGATCAGTAGCATATGGCTGAAGTTGATGATATGTTACTTCTGACATTAAGTTATAAAAGCTTCTGTCTTGGTCTCATGTTCTCTCGGATCACTTGCTCTTGGGGAAGCAAGCTACCATGTTGTAAGCAGCCTGAAGTCCCCAGCCAACAGCCATCAAGGGAGCAAGTCCTGCTAACAACTGTGTGGGTGAACGTGGAAGCAGATCTTGCAGCCCTAGTTCAATCTTGAGATGACTTCAGCCCTAACAGCCAGCTTGACTATAATGGATGGGAGACTTGGAGCCAGAAATACTCAGCTAAACTATTACCACATTCCTGACTCTTGGGAACTGAGAGAAAATATTTAACGTTTTAAGCTGCTAAGTTCTGGGGTAATTTGTTACACAGCAGTAACAGCAATACAGTAAGTATAACAAAAGATTAAGTTATACCTGGAGGAAAATGGAAAAGCAAAAGGGAGTCAAAGTAAGAAAATGGTTAACTATGTTAAGGGAATTTAGATTTTACGAATAGATTTTTCCTAATGAAGCTCCTAAACAAAAGATCTATGGACTTAAAATAATAATGAAATAATATTCAGCTGAAAAATGAAAGATGAGGACAATTCTATAGCTCTTGTGTTCTGAAGGAGTTTTATTTCTGAATTAGCTAGTTACTTAATTGGAGTTACAAGAATTACTCTCTACTGGTGCCATTTCTTCCCATCCAAAAGCCATCTTGAAAATAGGCATGGATTTCTCCTCCCTTGCTAATGTGTCCTTTCTGGCATTTCCCCTCCAATACAAATTTGACTTACCTATACTAAAATTCTATTCTTCGAACTGGAGTTGTCTGAGTGTTCTTTGTAAGACCAAAAGTAGTTTCTGCCAAGGTCCTTAACTGAATAAATATCTGCACCTCACACTCACTATTTGTTTTTTAACAGGATACCTGAGTACACAGCCTAGAGACAATCTTCACTGCTAAGCAAGGCTTTATCCTCAGGCCCCCACACCCACCCCATCCTTTTAAGGGGTGATCTTTGCTTTTTTTTTTTTCTTCTTTCCTTCTTACCAGTATCCTTACTTTCCACCATCAAAACAATGCTGAGCTGTTGTTCCTCAGTCCCCACCTCTGAATCTGCTTCCATATCCCTAGCGTTTGTTACTGCCAAACAAAAGGCTTTTTCTGACTGGTTCTCATGGCCACTTCTATGTATTAAGTAAAAATAAGTTCTACTACTTGAAGCTACCCAAGCTGTGACACAGTCAGCAGTCCCAAATTCCTAGACATACCACTAGCTTTTTTTGTTGTGAAGAGTTCTACCTGTGCCAGCCTTCTACCATTACTGTTTTCTAACTGGCTCTGATTATCACAGCACCTCTGAAAGTCTGTCCACGGGGATTGTTCCCTAAGCCTCTTGCTCCGCAGATAACTGCATAGCTCAAAGTCCCACATTTCCCAAGGCCCCAGCTCTTCTTAGTTTATTATAAATAAGGGTGACCAAACCACTTACTTCTAACCCTTCCGCAAACCTCCTAAATGGTGCGTAACAACCTCCAGTCTTCAATGCCAACCCATTTCCTATGTACTGTGTTCCCACTTGCCTGGGCCACAAGTAGGACTACTAAGCTGAGCATCTACCATTAATGGTTCTTTCCAAATTTTGGCTGAGAAGGGGTTGCCTGAAGAGCTAACATCTCTGTATATGTTCATGGGTTTGAGTGTGCTGACTTGCTCTCTCTCTACCCTTTTTTCATCTACCCCACACAAAAAGATAAGCATTGTATCTTCAAAGACCTCCGATTTTTGTTAAAAGAAAAAAGAAAAAAGAGCCTTACAGCCTCCTTGACCAGTTTTCTACTGGATTCCACCACTGCCTCTGTCAGTGTAAATTCCGTTTTAATCATCTCCAGCACATTGATAGCTGATTCCAGGGGTGTGAGCTCAGCCTCCATATCAAAGGAACAGTCTAGAACAAAGAGCACAGCTTTCATGTTAAGCTATTTTCTACAGAGCATAAAGGTTATGTCCACAAATACATATATTTAGGGAAAAAACTATGCAAATATAGTTAAGATTTGCATTTAACTGCTCACTCGCCATAGGCTGACAAACATGTTAGGGGTTCAAAGTCAAATCAATGAATTTGAAATGACTTAATAATTTTCAAGACAGGTAAAAATTATTTTTTAACAGATGCATTTGCATCTCAAATATTCAGGATATAACACGTCCTACTCAGACACAAGCGGCCAGAAACTGTAGACGGGTTTGCTAAACAGCTGTCAAGTTCAATTCAGAAATAAAACGTGCTCCTATTCTGAAAAAACACTCTACTATGGGGGGAAAGACGTGGCCATCTTAACACAACTCACTTCAGATAGCAGCAAAGTTGGGACGAGCAAGAAACAGGTGGGAGGAAATTAGAAAAACAAAACAAAACAGAAAAGCAGGCAAGAGAATCTCAACTGGAGAAAACTAGAGTCAAAGCATACTCATTCTAGAAGGAAGAAGACCACACTGTGATCAAAACACAGTAGCGCACCTTAATCCCGAATCTTTCAGTTCTGAATGTAAATTTGATAACAGAGTAATTCTAAGCCCTGAGAACACAAACATAACCATACCTAAATTTTCCCCTTCTTCAATGCGCGAAAGGCACTGCATAACCCGCAGCAGCCGGGACACGGTGTGCTCCTTCCCCAAAGGCCTGACAAGCAAAGCTAGGAAAGAAGACATCATTGGTTTGGCGATCCCTCTCCCCAACCCCCACAGCCATCCCCAACACCGGGGCCCCAGAGATCCCCTTCCCAGACGCCCCAACCTCCTTCCCCGGCCCGGCCCTCACCCTGCATGATGTCCCGGATCTGCCTGAAGTCCCCGTACCGGCTGCTTCGAAAGGCCCGCAGCGCCTCGTAGAAGTAGAACTTGAGCACCCAGCGGTTCACCGCCTCCTCCAGCCGTGCCTCCCCCGCGCCCCGCTCCGCGGCGCCCCCCAACCCGGGATCGTGCCGCCCCCGCCGAGCCCGCCCACTGCTGCGGGACGCCCGCCGGCTTGCCGCCCTCCTGCTGCCGTCGCTGCTCCCGCCTCCTCCCGCCATCGCGTCCGTTCGCCGCGCACCCTCCCCGCCCTCCCGACCGGGCCGCTTCCTCGACTGTGACGCCGCTGGATCACGCACGACGTCCGGGCCGGAAGCGGGACCCCCCGTCCCGGCTCCCGCGGCCATGATACAGACAGCGTTCCGAGCAGCCCGCGGGCTTCTGGGTGGGAAAGGACCGTCGGGCCCCGGCCCCCTCTCGGACTCCGTAGTTCCGGTATAGGAGCGCAATGCCTACCGGGGCTTGAAGTCCACGATGCCCACACTCGTAAACCAACGGTGTTTTCAGCCAAGTGTCAACTTTGCTCCAGAATTATGGAGCACTGTAGTCTGTGTAGAAAATATTGAAAAATAAATATGTACAGATTATTAAGCACTTGTGAAATGTAACATACATGGAGGAAAATTTATTAAACTAATTTACACTAACAATTTAAAGCAAAGGCCATTGTTAACCCAGTCGAGATCAAGAAATAGAATATGGCCGATACCCCCCGAAATCTCTAGACATATAAGACATATTTTTTTTAATTAAAAAAATAACATATTGTTGTAGAACAATTAGGAAACAAAAAGGTTAACATTTAAATTTTCCATAATCCCACATGAAAAAAAATACGTTGATTTTTAAGTTTATAGCCTTCAGTGTCTTGTATAACTATTGTGTGTGTGTATTTGCAAAAATGGGATACTATATGTATTTTATATAACTTTCATTTTTCATTTAACACATATCTTTTCATGTCATTAAATATTTTTTTCTGCACTATCTTTTGCTATTGTACATAGCATTCTAATATATGGATGAACCAAAGTTTTCATTATCTAAACCCCTGCTGTAGGATGTCTAGGTTTTTCAAATTTTTCTAATTCTAGACAATCTCCATATTAGAAACACCCTTTAACTGTATTGTTGCACAGATTCAAAATTATTTCCTTAGGATAATTTCCTTAAAGTGGAATGACTGAGTTGAAGAATGCACAGTAGGACATAGATCAGAACATTTCCCTTACCACTCATCAATCTTTTGCTTTTGAACCAGGTGCAGACATCTTAATATGACTCTTAAAACCTACAGAGGTCACCTGTTTGCTAACCTCATTTTGGGTTCATACCTGCGCAACTTCTATCATTTCCTTCTCATCTACATAATCTGCCTGGAGCCTTCGTCTTGTCAATTGTAGCCTAATTGAATACTTTTTGTCCTTCAAGCCTTATTTAAAAGACATTTCATTCTTTCTTGACTTTCTGGGCTAGGTTAAATCCCCCTTGCTACTCCTCCTTAACACCTCATATTTCACTCTTCCTGAAATACAGTCTCTACAATCTGGTCCTTGGGGACAGGCACGCTCTTTGCATGTTCACCCTACATCCCGGAACCTAGCCCAGGACCCAACACATTTCTTGAGGTTGGATCGAATTGATTAGGTACATGAGTATGGCTTCTGATACATGTTGAAAAACTGTACCACCAAAGAATTATATTTACTGATATTCAATTCCATAACTAACAGCAACATGACATGGGGACATTCTTAGGGCAGCCTCCCATTTCCTATGTATTTGTGTCATGGTTTGCTAGATACAGAACAGCTGACTACATAATCTTATGACTACGCAGTATAACTTCCTTGAATTCTTTTCTCCCTTTCCATCGTTGTAGATAGGGCTGGAGAGGACTTTTTAAGAAACAAACAAACAAACAAAAAAAAACCATGGTCCCTCTTTCCTTCTCCACGTACTTGTCTTGTTTAACCGCAGTTCTAAATCTACTTTCACCCCCATCTTACTGAATACATTCCTGAAACTTTCTTTCTTCTTTGCATTTCTGTGAAGGGTTTGCCACACGGACAAACCAGCAAAGGCCCTCATTGGGGCCACTAAGGGACAACTCAGGAGGGCAAGTGGCAACACCATTGAAGATGTAAAATCACATGCTGGACCCTTGAATTAATTAGACATGCACCTTAATCTGTATAGTATCATGGTCTGACAAAATCTCCATGTGGTGGACATCCCAGAATAGGGGAAGAGGCCTCTCAGTCGGATCTTTGGTGATTGTGGCAGCTCTGTGATCCAAATCTGCCTGCCTAAACAGGAGCTAAGTTACCTGCCTCAAATCCTGACTCTCCCGCTTGCTAGCTGTATAACCTTGAGCAAATTACCTAACCATCTCTGTGTCTCTGTTCCCTAAGTTGTCAAGCACAAATAATAGAGGTGCCTCATGAGGATTGTATGAAAATTTAATGAGTTATCATTCCAAGTGCCCTTAGTACAGGCATTGGCTCGTTTTAAGGACTCAGTAAGTGTAAGCTATTTTTATTAATTCATCGGAGTCTGCTTGAAAAGTTTTTTCTTCTCTATCAAAATGCTCCTAATTTTCATCTTTTAAAACTTAAAATATAACTTACATAAAGTACATCAATATTAAATGTAAAGCTTGATAAGTTTTCTCTGCATTTTTCAAAATCCCACTGTCATACAGCTGTCCTAGCATCACTTTCTTCCTTGCTCGGGACAAATACTCAACTCTTACCAAAGGAATCCTTTGTGAGGAACTTCAGTGCTTCATGCCTTCTCCTTGGGCACCAGCAGGAGGCAGTGTGGTACAGGGGAAAAGCCACATCAGCATGTTAAGGACCAACAACAGGATTATTATCCCGGCCCAACAACTTATTGGTTTGAGGGATCATTTTGTAAATTGTATACTTGTCTAACCACTATGCTGTACACATGAAACTAACATAAAATAATATTGCATGTCAACTGTAATTCTTTTTTAAAAAAAGAACTTAACATCAGATTCTTTTTCTTCCCATCTGCTGAAGAGGAAGAGGCTATCAAATGGACACTTTATAGGGCTGTAGTGAAGATGAAATGAGATTAAGCCTGTAAACCATGCCTCACATATGTCAATTAAATTTGCAAGGTATTTAAGATAATAGTACCCAGTATCACGGAGGGCACTGTGAAACAAGCACTTTTAGCCAGAAAGCAACTCAGAAACAAAACAAAACAAACAGCAAGAGCCATAGAGATTCCATATTTTAGAAATTTGTCCTATGGAAATAATCATAAATGAGCACCAAGATTTAAGTGTAAGGATTTTTATTATAGCATTACTTATAATGTATAAAAAGTTAGAATTGAAAAGATCTGGTAGTAAAATTATTAAATAAGTCATGGTGTGTTCATAGTAAGGAATTTTATTCTGTGATAAAAAGTATTTCCCCATAAAAATAAACAAACAAGTAATTATACATCCAAAGATTAGTTAATGCTCAAGATAAAAGAAAAAAGAAACATGTAATGGAAGTGACATTATTGTGGAAATAATAATAATAAATTTTGAGTATTTACTGGTTATCACTTACGATGCTAAAGTGCTTTACTTCTGTTATTTTCATTAATCTTCACAAAAGCCCTACAAAAGATTTATTTATTCTTCCAGTTTCACAGATGAGTAGACGGAGGCTCCAGGAGGTTAAGTGCCTTGCCCAAGATGTCAGGATGAATAGATGTCTGAATCTGAGTTTAGATCCATATCTGTTTGATATTAACCAAGACAGAATGACAAGAGATTTCAAATTTTTTCCTTAGACTTTTCTGTTTTTCTAATTTTCTGCAATAAATAGGGGGAAATAATCTCCAATGAATATTAACCTTTGTGAAGGCTTAGCATAGTGCCTGACTCATCGAAGATGCTCAGGAGATCCCCAGAGTCTAACTACTTCCTATCTAGAACAGCATTTCCTGGCATATGTTATGTGAGATTATCTGACATGGTGCGCCAACTAACATTTTGAACCTTTAATTCAAATCTGGTTCCCTTATCCATGCAGGTCAGAGACTCAAAAATGGTCTTGTCCTCCATGGGCATTTGCTGTACATTTATTGAGATGCCCTCCACAGGCATCTGCTTTGTGAGTTGAAGCTCTGTAGGCTCTAGCTGCAGCAATATAGATAAAATGCTAATCTTGCCTTCAAGAAGTTCAAAGTTTAGATGGGGGAATCAATGTGTAAAAGTAATGGCGTTATATTTCAGTTTTGAAAAATGGTTATGTATTGCTTATATAGCCCTTCTCTCCAGCCCTGGAAATACCCCTAAAATGGTCTTTTCAAGCCAAAGTGATAAGGAATACATTAGGATTATATGGGACAGTTGACAGAACCTAAGCTGGGCATCAGGTGTATCTGGGTTAGAATCCCACATATCCGACATTCTAAACCGGAGGTCTTGAAACTGGAATTACAAGTGTCGGTGGGCATGAAGCCTTTTTAGGAGGAAATTGATCTTCATGTGTTATCCTTAAAGAAACCTACCTGAGAACACACCAGCACCAGAGATTCTGCCAGTTTCCTTGTTCCAATCATCTTTCTCCCACTTTGCTTAAGGCAGACCATCTGAATCTTACTATGGTGTATATGTATATTTGATGAGAGAAACCAAGTTTGGATGCAAATAAAGACCTAATTCAAAAGACTAATTAAAGTTCCAGTAACTACTCCCTCACTTATTTCTGTAAAAGATGAATTTTCTATGGAAATAATTGTATGCTATTTTGACAGATATTATTAGAGTATAACTAATAATTGTAAGGTTAATTTAAGCCCAAAGAAAAATTTTTGGTATTTAGAGGCTTATGCTCATAGTATATTTTTAAAGATTTTAAAAGTCATATGTTGTTGCAAAATAATAGGGTGATAATTAAGAGACTTTCAAACATAAAAATATATTACATGAGAGTAATATTAGGTAGGAGACAAGGATTTCAAGGAGAAAAAGAATGACTGAAAATGTATGACTGTTCAAGAGGGCTTGTCCATACTTTTATTTTTAAATGGATGTTAGTAGATACCAAATCACTATGGTATTTATATTTCTTTGGATGTATTTATGACAGTGATATAACAGTTTTATTTTTAAATGTTAAGATCTGTAATGTGCCAGAAAATACATCTTTTGCATCTACTTAAATTCATGACAAGTCACCCCAGAAAGTTTTCAGTATGCCACTTTCAAGTCAATCTCCATTCCCAAACTGCTGCTTGGGTTTCAAACATCTTAGTTCTGTCTGTCCTTGAATTTCATATAAAAAGAATCATAGAGTGGGTACTTTTTGTGTCT